CCTAGCACATTTCCCCCGAGCCTGGTCACACATCAACCCCAACCACCTCTGATCCACCAGCAACCTAAAAATAAATATACAAAGAAACATACAGTTTTCATATATATAAAGCTAACGGTTGTCAAATATAATAAAAGAGTTTCATGATGGAAATAAATTTTTCATAAAAATAAATGTAATTTTTATCAAATAGTTCAACAGTGGGCAAAGATTAAGCCAAGGATGTTGATTAAAGCCTATGGAATGATAGTGATATTATTAGTGTATTGGTGAGGTGTACATGAATGTCAATGCATTTTGGTACAAGAGAAAACTCTTCCTATCGTGTTTCCCCGAAAATAAGACCCTGTCTTATATTTTTTTGAACCCCAAAATAAGCTCTTAGCCTTATTTTCGGGGAGGTCTTATTATTTTGGGGCACATGGAACAAGATCCCTTCTTCCCTGATTTCCAGCTCTGCGTTTAAATATTTTCGGGGAGGGCTTATTTTCAAGGGGAGGCTTATTTTAGTGCATGCGCTCAAAAGCCCGATTGGGCTTATTATCGGAGATGTATTATTTTTGGGGAAACGGTAATGGATTGAAGTGAATGACAATTTTTACTTCCACATATCCTGATGTCAATAATTTCCATACCTATTCTCTGTATTACATCATATCAATTTTTATGTTGCAGTACAGAGTGTAGATATGGATATTTTTGAAGATCCATGTATTTCACTGAGAAAATGGAAAATTGCAAGTTATACATACATGGCAAAGAGATAGAATTAATTTTTTAAATGTGCAAATGAGGTAGAAAGTAAAAAAATATATGGTAGTTGCGTGGAATGAAGGAGGAAGCAAAACTAGAGTGTGGTTTTGCGCACTTCCTTGTGTGGAAGTTAAAAAAAAAAAGGGTACATCCAGGGAAATATAAAAGGAAATTGAATAAAGTGGGAATGGGATATTTAATATGTGCATGTGATAAACAAATAGAAAATCATTCAGGAATGAATGTGGATTAAATACAAAAGTGAATAATAGTTGGAAAGACATACCCAGAATAAACAAAGAGACATTGAGGGCTATTGCTTTAGGCTGTACAAAACAGCATTTCTGAGAAAACATAACCATCAACCTAGCCTTCTTTTTTAAAAAAAGGAAGAAGACTGACTGCCACAGGGGGAACATAAATATATGAAGGCTTGATACCCCTGCTACGGACTCCACTCATGAACCTGTTCTCGATTGATGCATACAACTCCTTCTTCCTTTCTCTTTGTGCTGTCCAACAAAGCTATCAAATACGCATTTCGCACACCAAATCAATATCCTCACCTCTCTTCTGTGGGGTTTTTTTATTGTTCACCGCATGGAGGGTTGGCATTGTAAAACAGTACTAAATACAGCTTTTCAAACACAATGGGGAAGATCAAGTTGTTTCTCTTTCTTAGTCATAAAGAAACCCTCACACTGACTTCGCTAAATTGCTGCAATGGACATAGGCAATAGGTAAATGTTTCCTTATTTTCTGGATGAATTACTCACCCATTCTTTATGTCTTTCACTTTGGCCATGAAGCCTGGGGGGGGCGGGAGACTCTATATCCTACATCAAAGACAATTTAACGATTTAAACCATGGAAAAGATACTAAGAATGCAGGATTAAGTTATGGGTTCCAAATAAGATTTGAATATCTGACTTAGTGTTGAATGGAATCTTTTGGAAGGAGGGGAGGAAAAAACCATCAATTCTTCTAGATTTAGGGTAGGGGGACAATATTAAAGGGGGGTCTTGTCCATTGCCATTTAAGTGTTCATTTAAGTTTTTATGTGTTCAAGAGCTGAGGTGGCACAGTGGTTAGAATGAAGTACTGCAAGCTATTTCAGCTGACTGCTAGCTGGCTCAAGGTTCTCACCGGCTCAAGGTTGACTCAGCCTTCCATCCTTCCAAGGTGAGTAAAATGAGGACCCAGATTGTTGGGGGCAATATGCTGACTCTAAACCGCTTAGAGAAGGTTGTAAAAGCACTATGAAGCGGTATATAAGTCTAAGTGCTATTGCTATTGCTATATTCCTGATTTAGAAAGCTAATATAGAGGCATTTCTCAATCATATTGGTCCATGGCAGAACATAGATTGAAATTCCATCATGTTCACTGCAATCATCCTTCCACTTCAGACCTTCCAATAAATATTGGGCAACTGTCACACTCAATCTAGTGATAAACCAAAGAAATTATAAACATATGAATCTAGGGAAACCAGGTGTTAAAAACATAATCTTAAGAGTATAAAATTACTTTCCTAGGCAGAATTATAATATAATTAGGGTAAGGGAAATAGGCTGTTTTGCCTCTTTTCGTTTAAATTGAACTTCTCCTCCACCTCTGCTTTCTACAATGTGTCACCCAGACTGCCAGATGAAGGGGAAAAGGCCATTTTGCAGATCCTTACCAGTCTCCACAATTATAATTTCTGAAGATCAGAATATAACACTACAGGTGAGAATGGTCTGTCACCAAATGGCAGAGAGAAGTAGGCATCTCAATAGATAATTAGCTCACTTGGTAATCACTTGTTTCTGCAAAGCAAAAGGAATTAGCTATGTTATTATTCATGGAAACAGAAGACACACATCTTTCTGGCAGCACCTGGAAATAGTTGGATCTAAATGGCCAATTAATGTTAGACTCCAACTGTAAACATGGTCACATCAAAGTCAACTCACTCAGAATGAATAGAATTCACTATAAAGAAAAGGAAATGCTTAGGATGGGTTTGCTCATATAGAATGTACTTGCAAGTTCTTATTTAGAAATTTAATATGTGGGACAAATATTGTTCAGTTGTTAAATTATGTCTGAAACTTCGCAACTCCCTGGACCATAGCAGGATTCCCTGTCCTGCCAGAGTCTGCCTAAACCAATGCCCATTGCATCAATGACACTATCCATCTCATACTTGGCCATCCCCGTCTTCGTTTGCCTTCAATTTTTCAGGGTCTTTTCCAATAAGTCCTCTCTTCTCATTAGATAGCCAAAGTATTTGAGCTTCAGTATCTGTGTCAGTATTGCGGTGGCTAAGACACTGAGCTTGTCAATCGAAAGGTTGGCAGTTCAGCAGTTCAAATCCCTAGTGCCGCACAACGGGGTGAACTCCCGTTACTTGTCCCAGCTTCTGCCAACCTTTCGAACTGCCTAGCAGTTCGAAAGCACGTAAAAAATGCTAGTAGAAGAGCACTGGCTCTTTGGCTTTGAAAGGGGGACGACTGGCACATATGTGCAAGAGGAACTTTTACCTTTACCTTATCTGTCCTTCCAAAGAACAGTCTGAGTGGATTTTCCTTTAGAATTGACAAATTTGATCTCTTTGAAGTCCAGGGGACTCTCAAGAGTCTTCTCTAACATCACAATTCGAAAGCATCAATTGTTCAGTGCTTCCTTCCCAATTCTCACAGCCAGGACAAATAGAATAGAATAACAGAGTTGGGAGAGACCTTGGAGGTCTTCTATTTCAACCCTCTGCTGAGGCAGGAAACATATACCATTTCAGACAAATGGTTGTCCAATCTCTTCCTAAAAACTTCCAGTGTTGGAGCATTCACAACTTCTGGAGTCAAGTTGTTCCACCATGCATTCTAGTTTTGTTAGTTCTGTTTGGGGGGTGGGGTTATAAATGGTACCTTTTTAATACAGTTAACTGGCACTCCAACTTTAAATTTGTAAAGCATAATGGCTCACAACTTGGTTTGACCTACCCTGTTTTCCCCGAAATAAGACATTCCCTGATAATAAGCCTAATCGAGCTTTTGAGTGCATGGCAATAAGGCCAAGCACTTATTTCAGGGTTCAAAAAAATATAAGACAGGGTCTTATTTTCAGGGAAACATGGTAGTTGAAGTCTAATCACCTTTCTCAGTGGGCATCCAACTACACAAAGATTTGATTTGAGCCAAAGGATATATTTTAGAGAAAAGTAAATGTGTGAGCTGGCTCCTATCCTGTTCAATCAAACATAATATCTAGAAGTACGTGTCTTGTAAAGATATGTGAAATGTGTCAGCACCTCAAATTATGGTTGCCAGGCTTTAACTGTGTCAAGACAAACAATGTTTGGATGAGAATATATTTTCAATGTCTGATGAAGGTTTGGCATTCCAAAATCAAGACAATGCTAAATATTTCAATATTCTATTCAGGATGGGGGCTGGGCAAGAATATCTTTAAATATCATTTTCAAGGAACAATGGTGAAAAACGGACAGGTCTTCATCTCCGGCTTTCCAGAGCCTCCCAGAGACATCTGGTTAGCCACTCTGACAAATAACATGCTAGAGTAGACCGCCTTTGGCCTGATCCTCTAGGGCTATTCTTGTCACAATTCTTCAATTTATATTTCATTCATCCTTTTCCTCTTTCAAACTCCCTGCTGAACTCTGCATGCAGATCACATCCCTCACAATCTACCTAGTCCAGATGGAGCTAGAAAAGAGGCAGCTGAGGCTTCGCAGCATATAGTCTTAGTGCAATTTTCATTCAAAGGAAATTGTAAAGGCTCAGGATGTTAGGCGGTAATGAACTGCTCGGAATGAACACAGAGAAACTCTGCTAAAATTAATACAAATGTGTATTAATTACAGTTGGTTAAGCATTACACATGCATGCACACACTCATGCTCATTTGCTCATTACAAAACCAATCAGGTAATGCATGGCTTTTGGGAAGGAAGAAGCTTGCCACAGATAATAGTTGCGTACACAATTGGAGGTGTTCTGCCAGGGGCCTGTATAGCTTCTTCTTTTATCCTTTGCCAACAGCATCTGCCACACGTTCCCTTCCATGTTATCTCAGCTTTTTGTTGACTGTTATGTGATCTACTGCATGACAGTTAACCATTAACTCTCTTAACTCTGATTGCTATCCTCTCATCTGACCTTGACAAATTACTTTCTTGTGATTGGCTGTTATGGCACTTCTTATCTCTGCTCTGTATCCAGATTTGAACTGGCTGCTTTTCACTCTCTGCACATCCATGTTCTCCAAAGGTGAGTTTTACAAAATAGCCAATACTATAGGTTAGGAGATGCATCTGCCCATTTAAAAATAAAAGTAACCATAGTTGGAAGCACATGCAACTGGCTGAGGATTTATGCTGGCCTGAGTTATATAACTGGCTGAGGATTTATGCTGAAAGACAAAAGCAGTATTACAATCAATAGTCTATGAAGATGTGAAACGAGAGCTTGAAAGATGTGTTCATGAGCTGCATTCAATGGTGAGTTTCAAACATTTTTACTACCGGTTCTGTGGGTGTGACTTGATGGGCGTGGCTTGGCTTGGTGGATGTGGCAGGGGAAGGATACTGAAAAATCTCCATTGCCTCCCCAATCCAGGGAAAGGTTATTACAAAATCCCCATTTCCTCCCAATCAGCTGGGACTTGGGAGGCAGAAAATAGATGGGGGCAGGGCCAGTCAGAATTTTTACTACCGGTTCTCCGAACTACTCAAAATTTCTGCTACCGGTTCTCCAGAACGGGTCAGAACCTGCTGAAACCCACCTCTGAGCTTCAGAAATGTGTTGGAGTCTGTCTATGGAGATTTTCAGTCATCTAAATCATGGTTGTCCCACAGGTGCTTTTTCAAGAGGCAACTGGACTGTCTTGTTATTCTTTGAAGATGTTTCGCTTCTCATCCAAGAAGCTTCTTCAGCCCTGGACTGGAATCTGTGATCAAGAAGAATTCATTCCAAGAAAAAGGGGAACAAAACAATAAACACAATAGATGACTATGTTATTTATCTCTGTGTTATTCTTATTCTTAAAGTCTGTGGACTCCTTTTGATTTATAGTCTTTATCTCTTTTTAGAATTTAACAGTATAACTGGGATGGAAGGGATCTTGGAGGCCTTCTCGTCCAACTCCCACTTGAAGAAGAGACCCTATTGTCAATCCTGAAGTGAACTTAGCTGATGCCATCTTTATGGCTTCAGGGTTGCCACTGGATGGGAGTGGGAAAAGAAAATAGATAGCTGGGGTTTTGAAGCCAAAACTGAGGTTTTCCTGTGGGAACCAAGGACGTTTCAATAGGTGGCTGGAAAGAGGGGGAGTAGAGTAACCAAGCAACTAGCCAGCACCTCTATTGGACAATGTGATGGATGACTTGGGGAAAAGGAGGAACTTTTAACTGGGTGAAAATCATGGGAACTTTTAGAGTCGATTTTCACCAGTTGTGCCAATATAATGTATCCAATAAATTGTTCTTTGAGGAATCTACCTGCCTTGGACTTCTGCTTTAAATGGGTGCATTACTTGTAACGCTGACATCTATACCATTCCAGACAAGTGGTTATCCAGTCTCTTCTTAAAAGCCTCCAGTGATGGAGGACATACAGCTTCTGAAGGCAAGCCATTCCATTGGTTAATTTTTCTCCCTGTTAGGAAATTTCTCCTTAGTTCTAAGTTGCTTCTCTCCTTGATTAGTTTCCATCCATTGTTTCTTGTCTTGCCTTCTGGTGCTTTGGAAAATAGGTTTCTTATTTATTTATTTTATTTTTGGAAGATGGGTTTCTTTCTTACAACTTCCATTTACTCAAGGCTCCTCCAGTTCCCCCAAATAGTCCCAAAATGGGCTGATGATTTCTACCTTATCCTTTTTAATAATATCACTGTCACGCTGTCTGTGGCACTTGGAAGCCACTCAAAATATTTTCTTTAAAAGTGCAACCCCTAGTGGCAAAAATGTTCTGCTTTATGAGATGCCACAAACGTACACATTCTTCTTTGGGTATTATAAGCTTCAAATAAGCTGATAGTAATAACGGTAAAAATGTGGAAAAGAATACTCGAGAATCTCTTGGCTTTTGGCGAAGAATGAATTTTCAGGGCTGGTCCTGCTGTCTATTAATCATTGCAAATTGGAGCCGATACAATACTTGCCACAGGAGCAGCCATGATACTTCAGATCACCACTCTGAGAGCCAAAGTAATAGGACCTCCAAGTGAAAGCAAGCTTCACATCTTTAACACAAAGCCTTTATTTGTATGCTGCTCCAGCCTCTGTTACACTTCACTGCTGGATACACTGCTGAGTTCTTGAGGGTTGTATAGTTTTTCTGATCTATCAAATTCCTTAGAATAGAAAAACATACTTCCCCACTGTCCTCACCATTGTCAATAGTCAGGTTGGGAACAACAAGGAAAACTCAAGGCTTCCTAAGTGCAAGATCTGTTTTCATTGCTATATTTTTATTTTAGAATTCCAGATTAAATGGAGCAAGTGCTTGTCTTCTCTGCTAAGGCCCATTGCTTTTACCTGTGGAAGTGTTTTAAAAGTAATTCTTTGATTTATTCACATATCTCTCAGACTACGTTCCTTAAACAGAGAGCGAAGCTTCTAAAGTACTAAGAGAAGCTCAACAGTTTAGCTATCCTGTTTCCCCCAAAATAAGGCAAAAGCCAAAATAATTGGGCTTTTGAGCACATGGCAATATGGCCAAGTGCTTATTTCAGGGTTCAAAAAAATATAAGACAGGGTCTTATTTTCAGGGAAACAAAGTATGTAACATAAAGAACTTACTTTTATTCATCATTGAACAACTACAGTGTAGTGGCAGTTACTCTTCCTACCAGCATTTATACTCCTACTCCCTTAATGTTTTACAAGATACATACACACATACACACACACACACATTTCAGATTTATTTCTGAATCTGAAGGATTTCTGAATCTGAATCTGAATGAAGGAGTTAAAATTTGAGCCTTATTAAAAGACTTAAAGAAAGAGTATCACTGTCTAATTATAATTTTAAAAGTAAAACAATAATCTACATTGAAAAGAGGATTTCTTCTGATCTTGGATTAGTTTACCATTTTTACAGTAATGTAAACCTGACTCAATAGTAGTAACTGCTAGAGTAGAGCTGTCAAACTCCCGGCCTGTGAGCCAGATGCATCATGCGTTGGCCACACCCACACTTGGTTTAGCAAAGGGGGGAAGTCCCAATACATCACATGACGCCGTGACACCTGTGCTAGAGGGATCTTGGAATCCTAGGGGACAATCACTTAAATATGAGTCAGCAGTTTGCAGCAACCCGCAAAAAAACCCAACACAGTCCTAGTGGGATAGAATCAAGATCATGTGAAGTGGTAGTACCACCTTTGTAAGGCCATACTTGGAATATTGCATCTAGTTTTGGTTGCCATGATATTAAAAAAATGTTGAAACTCTAAAAAGAGTTTTGCAGAGAAGAGCAACAAAGATAATTAGGAGACTGGAGGCGAAAACATATGAATAACAGTAGCGGGAATTGGATATGACTAGTTTAATGAAAAGAAGGACTAGAGGTGAGATGATAGCAGTGTTCCAATATCTAAGGGACTGCTACCAAGAAGAGGGGATCAGCCTATTTTCCAAAGCACTAGAAGGAAGGATAAAAAGCAACAGATGGAAACTAATCAAGGAGAAAAGCAGCCTAGAACTAAGAGAAATTTTCTGACAGTGAGAACAATTAATTAGTGGAACAACTTGTCTCCAGAAGTTGTAAATGCTCCAACAATTGAAGTTTTTAAGAAGAGATTGGAAAACCATTTGTCTGAAATGGTATAGGGTTGGACTAGAAGATCTACAAAGTTCCTTCCAGATGTTATTCGGTTATTGGGTTCACTGTGCTGGGTGAGTTGAAAGGGAACACATCCAATGTCATAAAAGCTGTATATCTCCAAGGGAAATTCTTTCTGTTAAGACTTTACAAAATCACACACCTCTGCAATTGGTCAAAAGAGAGGCATTTAGTTTATTTCTAGTTTCTCCATAAATATCACCTTTTTGGACATAAGCATCCTACCCTTAATTTTGAATCTGAACAATTGAATATTTATTAGGCTACATGCGAACATAATTTCCTATTATAGATTCTAGTTACGGGGAAGGGAATTTGGAATCTAAGTATAACATGAGAAAAAATATATAAATTTTGAATGATGTGTTCCTGATTCAAATTGCATTCCCACTATGCTACTTTTAGCTACAAAAACAAGATTTCTAAGCAGTTAAATTTAATTGGGCATATTTTCTCTTCAATATTTTATAGCATTTTGGAGTGGTGGGAGATATGGTATGGGTTGGACTACAGTTGCAGAGGATCAAATTCCAAACTGTAGAACATTTAAAAATATCCAAAAAGTACTTTCATACAAGAAAAGGAAAAAAATGCTAGCGTTTATAATTGCACTGTCATAATATGCTGTGTTTGCTTAACAGGTTGTATGAACCAACCACCTTGTTTATAAATCATTATCACTTATTAGATATGAACCTTAAGAAACAAACTATAGTTAAGCTGACTTTGACAGTGTGATGAGTGAACCCAATCAATGTTTTTCATCCCACAATACCCATATTATAATTGCTGACTTGAAGTTAGTTTTGTTTAGAGGTGCCTTTTTTAAGGAGTGGAAGGATTATAATTATTCATTATTGTAGCCTTACATATCTTAGTTCATATTAATCAACAAAGAGAATATTTCTTAAGACCTGAACAAATTTTCAAACCAATGTAAGTATTACTTGGAATTCTAGAATTTGTAGCCTAACACATCTGTAAAGAATTAGATTGAGGAAGGCTATAGAAAGAACTGAAACAGGTGGCAACCTAGGAGAATCCAGATGTTGTTAAAAGTAACTTTCAAAAACTCAAGCATCCATGATGGGAATATTAAGATCGTCTGGAACACCACTCATCTTCTATCCAGTGGTGATATTCTACCAGCCCTGTTAAGTATTGAATGACAATTCAAACGGACCAATTAGAAGTGAGCAAATAGAGTGGGAGATTTAGAAACACATCAGAGGCTGAAGCCGTGGACAGCTCCCTTTAAAAATAGGCGGCTGCGGCTAGGCAAGCCATTGCTGTACCGGAGCTGAATAAACTAATGTAACTATCGTGCGTGTCTTGTGTCCTTACTGCGCCCACTATTTAACAAGCCCACCCACCCCTGCCTTTTCCTGTCCTATATTTCCCTGTTTTTTATCTCAGCTGATTTGCATGGCACAGCGGATTGCCATGCGTCAGCTGTTTTACTCACCAGCACTGACATAGAAGGTAAGTTTTTAAGCTTAAAATGGATGGTGTTTTAACGCTGTGCATGCACGCAAACCACACATTAGGTGCATGTGCACAAAGCGCGCAGGCGCACACAAAATGCGCGCTCACCGAACAGGTTGTTAAACCAGTTGCATCCCACCACTGCTTCTATCCTTTGAAAGAAATGTCACAGAGTCTACATCTAAGTAAACATACTGTATATCATGCTTTTCAAATGTTATGTTTGTTCTTCCTTAAACTGCCAGAAGCTTTCAGGATACCCATGAAAACCAATTTTTCTAAAAAAAATTCTCTGTGATGCAGAGGAAATGCTACATTATATAGTTCAGTACAGCACTGAAGTGAATAAACCCTTGGTATATCTTGGCTAAATTATGGATGTAAGTTTACAAGTTTTCTGACTTTAAATGACAGCAATAATAATATTCAATCTCAAATAAATATATTCAAATAAAGAGGATTTTGCTGGGAGTAACAGTAATGCTGGGAATAACAGCCAAAAAATAAAAATTATTATGCTAGGTAGGACAGCCAAAATAAGGAAGGGTATGTTGAGATTAACAGTAAAAATGAAATGTATAAATTGGGTTTAACAACAGAAATAAAGATGATAATGCTGAGTTCAACAGTAAAATAAAATAACTATGTTGGAATTGATAGCCAAAAAAATAAAAATAAAA